TGAGGCTTGTATTATTAATCTCAAAGTTGTGGTATAGGCGGTGAGCACTTTTAATTACATTTTTATAATTTAAGGAAATAATTATCATGTGTATATTATCATCTAAGTCGGTGTCAGTTGTAACCTAATTATAACCTTGGTGTATTTTTCGCAATATTATGTGTCTAATTTCATCTTAATCTCTTATCTCAATTAATAGGGAGGAATTCTTGCGATTCCTTCAATTTATAAATACCATAATCTGTGCTTATTTAGCTTTGAAATTGATTATAACTATCACGCCATTAATGTGTCCCTCCTATAAATTCGCTCAAAGTTGAGAGCTGGATTTAACCAAGTAAGATTACAATTCAACTTTAATTTAATCTCCATAAAACTTGCACGGTTATTTACAATTCTAATTCTTAAAGTGATGTTAAATAATTAAAAAGAACTAGAAATTTGATTATAAGTTTTTGATTTCAAGTCTGATTGGATTTAAATGTTGTCTTACACCAAGTCTTGCTCATTTTTTTATTGTGAAAATTAAAAAAAAAATCATCGAAGAATATATATTAATTTATTATTGCACATTAGTTTAGGAAATTTTTGTATAATGATACAATTTTTGATTGTTGATTCTTAACCATAAACGGTTAAACCCAAACCATACCAAAAAAAATAAATGAACCTGTTAGAGAAGTGTTGAGCATCGGACAAGTGTGTGTATATAAGACAAGTGTGTGTATATAAATTAATGTTCATTTTCTTATTTGAACAATGTGAGACTTTACTTGCATCCTAACAAGAAACAATAATATGTATGACATGTTGGAAGAGAACTAATGAAGTTACAAGAAACATATATAATTAGAAAGGTTAGAAGAATCAAGAGCTAAGTCTGGAAATTTGATATACATTTTGACGCAAGCTGATATATTTTTAACTTTTCATATGGAGTACGACCTCGGTAGACAAACTTTCTCAGATTTCTAATAATAGTGAAGAATAAAGGTCAAACCCAGGTTTCTCCTTAGAAGAAGACTTGTAATGGTCAAACCCCAAACATTACATTGTGAAAACCTTTTATAGAAATTCCATTGTTGCCTTCCTCCACCCACCTTCCTTTCCTAAGGTTAACATTGGTGGAAAAGAGGAGTAAAAAAATGAACAAAAGGAGAGGAAGGTACTTGGGAGTGAAGAATGCAAGAAAAACTAAGAGTGTCGAAAAAACTTCAAAACCATAATGACTATGTGTCGTTAAAGTCGTAGAGAAACAAAAATATGAATATTTATGAAGGGAGAATGAAGACAACCGTAAAAGTGGATCGACCCTACTTATAAGCAATTTACAAGGGTAAACTTGATATTCCAACCATGAAAGTAAGGGCAACATGGTACCTCGATCCAAAATTGAGTTGTCATGATTGTTGCATGAAACTAGTGATTGACATAAATTTTGGAGGGCTTGATAATCCACATCCAACCACAATATGTCGTATATATGTTCTACTAATTGGATATTACAAGTCAGCTAGACATGAAAGAACATGATTACAACCGCACCTCAACTTAAAACACATTTTCATCTTCAACCAAGTGAGGATCTCAAAACTAAATTCACAGCATGACATGCATGATCTTTGAGCATGCCATGTTTGGGGGAAAATCGTTCCAAACTAACCCTATGAGACTTTATCCTTAAATGGACTAGTTAATTACCTTGACCTAAGGTGTGACATTAATCGAAGTATTGGTTAAAGTCAACACTTGAAAATGCAATTAAATACACTTGTGAATAGTGAATGATACCTAGAGTAAAATTATTATATGGATCATTGATATACCCCAAAAAAAAAAAAAAGTAATGTTAACTCATGCGTTTCTAAAACTCTTCTAAGGTTCAATTTCATCATAATATGATTTCTCTTTCACTTATTATTTCATTTTTTTAACCTAAAAATTTAAAAAGGCAGCAATGAATGGATATTTGATGATTAGTGCACACTAGTTGGAAAGTTTGTGGTGTAGAATGAAACAGCCTTCCCCGTTGGTCCCAAACCCTATATCAAATCACCCAACAAGCTGGCCCTACTTTCCTTTTCTTCTCCTATAACGTCCCCACCAACCCCTCCCCTAACTTTCCACTCACCATTTAGATTTTTCATCAACACAACACCGTCCATGAAACTAAAACAGAAGCAATCAACCCTAGACGCATATCACATCTCAAAACAACGTCAACATTGATAAAAGTTATATATTCCTTTAGAGGGCACGTAAACACGAAATTACAAACCTCAGGTTTCGAATTAATAACCGAAACCTTACATTTAATATGCATACAGCATACGCGAACGTAATTAACAACCAAAAATACATACCAATTACAGTAGTAACCAAAAAAAGAACCCAAAAATTTAGAAGGAAAAAAAAAGAAGATTTGGGAGATGGTTAAGTGTGTTTGTACTCTCTTTTTTTTTTTTTGTTCAGTCTTGGAAACCGGTTTTGGCCCAAATGGCGTTTCGGAGTGTGCTGAGATCCCTTCCCTTGAGGGTCCTCCCAACACCCTCGTGCACGGAAAACGAAGCCACCCTCGTCCTCGCTAGGAACTCATGCGGTGGCACCCTCACACTGTTCTCCTCGTTCTCCTCGTCGCTGTTCCTCCGCCGGTGATACTCGCCGCCGAGGATCTTCGACCAGTCGGGGATGTTCACCGGCACCGACGCCGGAGCGGTGGTGGGAGACCCCTTTTTCTTGGCGAAGCCAGAGGCGCGACCATGTAACGATCCGCGGCACTCGAACGAGTTGGCCCGGCCCGAGTCGTAAATCTCGGACTCGTGGAACTCGAACGCGGAATCGGAATCGGAATCCACGGAAAGGGAAAGAGAGTCCGTGTCTGGAGCTACGGGGAGGAAACGGTGGCTCCGTGCGGCGAAGTAGGTTTTTCTGGTGGCCATTGTAAGCATGCAGGTGGTGGTTTTTATAACGCGTGGAAGTTTAGGTTGTGTCTCTGTGTGTGGTGTTGTGTTGTGTTGTGGAGGGTTTGCTTTCTCCTACGTTGTTGTTTATTATGGTTCCTTTGGTGTGCTTTTATAAAAGGGTTTGCTTCCTTCCTTTTCTTTATTCTCGTTAGGGAAATGAGTGTTGTTGTAAATACCGTTTTCATTATTATTTTTGGATAAGAATGGGAAAGGAAAGAGAGAGAGAGATGTGGAGGTGGTATATAAATGTTGTTATTCTTGTTCTTAAATAATATCGTGTATCGTGTGAAAATAATTATACTAATATAGAGAAAATGCTGCGTTACATTATGGATAAGGTTCCATCTTCTATATATGCCTTTTCTTCCTCACTAATGTGTGAGAATGAGAAACTACCAACTACCCACCCACCCATTTTACTGTTTCAATAAAACCCCGCTTCATTAACAAAATTATACCTAACAAGCCGTTATTTTTCTATAAATACTTTTATTTTTACACTCATTTTGTTTGTTTTTCATCCTGTTTATGGAAAAAATTATATTTAAAATTTTGAATTGATCATAAGAAATCTTTTAATTTATTAATGATTATATAATTTAAAATGAATCAAAATAAAGATATCAAATGAAGATAAGAAGAATGAGAAAAACTTTTTAACTCTGATTATGAGTGAAAGTCACAATCAAAAGATCGAGATGAGAAATTTAAAACTTTGTTTAATAAGGTTGTTATTGCATTTTTTTTTCTGCTGGATGAAGTCTTTTTATTAACATATGTAACCTTTTTAATTTATATATAAAAGTCAATAACAGATAAATTTTGCTGATGAGCCAAAGAAATTAACTTTTATAGCAACTAAACCCTGATTACAGGGAATCTGCCTGAACATTTCACAATGCTTCTTCAAATGCTATGACCAAAAGGTGTAAATACTTTTTGTGATCAATCTCAAACAGTCCATTACATGAGATCAACTTAAATTTATCTCAAGAACAAACAACATTTGTATTGCCTTTAATTATCATAATATGCTGAAATAAAGATAGTTGATATCACCTCACTATATATATGATGACAGATGTGATCCTGTTTAATAAGATTATTGCGTATCCATATTGATAAATTTAGTTATCAAACTTTAAAAAACAAAAAACGAATTTAGTCCTTTTAAAATAAATGTGATTACTTTTTAGTAAAAATGAACTAAAACCTAAAATCTTTGACCAAAAATATTAGAATTATTATTGTTTTTATTTGTAATTTAAAGTATGTATAGTGAAGAAAGGCGTATTATGGTAGCTATATATCGCGTGTCTTGGCCGGAACAGAATCAATTTCCTTTTGTGACTCCATTTTTCACCTGTAATAACGATGTTTAGCTATGTAGGAGAATACTAATAATTTACTTCCTAGTTGGATCATATCGAATTTTGTCCATGCAGGTAGAAAAGAAAAGCTTTCTGACAGAATTTCTTGTCACGGGCCTTGCGATTATGCACAATAAGGGCATCTCTAACTTAGAATTTTCTTTTATATTATTTACATGTTTTAAATGGAATTCACTATTATACATTATTAACTTTTATAATTTAAATAACTTTTCGCTTCAATTTACTAGTTTTAAAATTTTTATTAAATTAATGTCATAGGTAACCAAGCATAACCCCATGAAACAAATTTGACAAACACTGCTTTCAATTTTATTTGCATACTCCATGAAACAAAATATAGCAATACTTATTTTTCTTCTTACATTTGAGGTAAAATTGTTCTGTTCATAAATTTTAAAATTAATTTTTAGTCTTTATAATTTATATATATATATTTATTGATAATGAATTATAATTAGAAGACAGTTTATGTTTACTGTTATGCTTGACCATTATATATATATATATATATATACTCAAAAGCTACTTATAAAATAAAACAAATTGAGTTAGTTATAAAATATCAATCGTGATTGATGTAACATTTTTATTAATAAAAATATAAGTGAATTTTTTTTTGTAAATCAAATTTATTAGTAAGTGACTTTTGTATGATAAAAAAATTCACTAATAATATTTATGTATAGTGACTAAAATTAAAAATGTAGAAGACTCACAAGCATAAAGACATATAAAACGTATAATCATCTTTGTTAATATAGTACGCAACACTTATAACATTATTTTTTTATGTGTAAATAAGATTCTATTATTAATATTTTGGAGTATGATAAATAACACTATCAAAGTTATAATTTCCATTTTTGACACAATAAATAACACAATCAAATTTTAATACCAAGTCCCAAATAAAATCTTAATTTGAAATGAATTTGTTTCAATACATCAAAGAGTTGTTACTATCATTTAGATTTACGACTTCACTCAAATCTCTTCTCATCCAACCATCATGGATAAAAGCAGAAGCAAGAGACAGTTGACTTAATTAAATTCAATTATATATATTCCTGTTTTTGCCTTGTTCGAGTATTTTGTTCATGCAATATTCGGAGTAATTTGTGAATGGTTGGCATTCAAGCGATAGCAGATCACTTATCCTAGGTATCATTGATCCTTCACATCACGAAGTTGAACAAGTTGATGAAATAACTACTTCACTTTCAATCATTTTAGCACTCAGCATGCAACCACATCAAAAAGGTAAACATCAATCAGCATTTGCAGCCCACACATTAAGGGGAAAATATACACTTAGCTGAATATCTAGAGGATTATTTGTGGTCACGAAATCATCCAGCGTCTACCAACATGATCTCATGTGTCCACTTCTCAAGCTTATCCATGTGACCATGCCCTTTCAACGCGCTCCCGATAGGCAAGATTTACCCTTGTGCGAGATAGTGGGTATATATTAATATTCTATATGTTTACCGAGACCCAAAAGTGAGTAGATATTCGCCATTTTTGGTTGTCTGATTTTGCATTTGTCCTCGGCTATAAGTCCACAACCTCAGACATAGAAAACCAAACAGTGTTGTCCTTGGAACAAAAGGAGGGTACAGCCTGCAGAGATCAACGTGCTTAAGGAGATTTAGATGATGTTCACGTTCTCTGTTCTTGTTGCTTTTCTTGCTTGACAACCCACTTTCCAGACTGTCAATCACCTACTGACACCAGAAAATCATTGAAGGTAAGACCTTGGTTAAGAAGAGGCAACAACACTCCTCAACACTGTAAAATTGTGTGTCTCAAATGTTCTAGGACTCCAAAGCGAAGAGGGTTGCATTATAGCATAGCATAGACTCATGGGAATACGTGCAAGAGGCATGACCCATGTGAAATTTCCATACATTAGGAATGGGAACCCAAACCTTTACAACAATGATCAAATTATCCCTTCATCTTTTTGTTCCACTTGTCCTCCTTCTGCATTATAAGCCATTTCTAGAAATCATTTCTCGATGTTTATATTGTGTGCTAATTTGTTGAAGAATAAGCAGATCCACTACTCCACAGAATTCCTTATCCAGCACAGCACAACCAGAGGTAACTATTACACTGGCATATTTCCAATCACACATCTTAACGTACTGATTTTTCATGCTGGAATTAACTTCTGAATCTTCCTCACAATTCCCCAACTGTCCTTGTACTATGTCAATTTATATCCTGACAGGTTATAAATCAAATCATGCATGTTTAGAATGCTCTTCTGATTCATTTGTTCGATTGATGACAAGAAAGTTCTCCAACATTCATTTCTGTTCCACACCACCACAAGAAACACTTCCTCGTTCAGCACAGCTTCCATCAATTCCTTTCATTCTAATTTCTTTCCCATCATCACGTGTCCACCTCTGGGGATTTCTCTGGCCCTAGGGGACACTTGTGTTCTGACATAACTAATCACACATAAAACCCAGACACTGTCTTAGTCTCAGTTTCCATACTTTAATTGGTGTCCCCCCTAGTCCCTCGAGGTAAAACCACTGCATCCACCTCCACCACTCATTTCAATATCCCACCCTCAACTAGTAAACAAAACTAGCCTGAAGAAAATGTGACGTGCTCACAACTAGCTGAAGGGACAGACCCGAAATTACCAAAATACCCACACAACTCATGGCTCGCTGTACAAGTCCCACCCGTATCACATGCCCAAGCCATTCCCATTACTAACACTGCACCATCATGATAAGATACTCGGACAACATCATATGTTAGTTCCAAAGTACACATCAACCTGTTTCATCTGAATCTCATCCCACCCTATTCAACAGAAAAACCAGCCATTTATTATTTTATCAGTAATCACTCATTGTGCTTTTTTTAAAATATATATTTTTAAGCATATAATGGTTACGCAGTTTCATGCATGCTATTTCAAGTTTCAACCCCATCATAAAAAATTAGTAACTGAATTTGTTGCTACCAGTGGAAAATGTTGAATATTCTTAATCAATCATAAATCATTCTTGACATGACTTGTAATGTTTTATACATGGTGTTAATGACAATTTTAAAAAAAAAAAACCTTAATGTATAAATTGGTCTTTCTCATCATCCTAACACGGGTGACGGGTATATCTCTTATCCGTTGATGATTATGCATATATTGTTTATTGTTAGTAACGTAGTGATATGAAGTAATTTGCATGTATGTGTGTGTGTATGAATGAATGGAAGCAGAGAGTGAGAGTGATGGAGGCATTTCCAAGAGACCAACGTGGCTCGCTCGAAGTGTTCAACCCATCGTCTTCTTACTCCGCCGAGAAGCCGGTGGCGTCGCCGTTGCGCTCTCAATCCACGTGGAAGACGTGGATAGACTCACGCGCCGAGGACCCGCCGGAGGAGCAGCAGCGCGGTTCCGACGAGGTCACCGCCACGTCATGGATGGCGCTGAAGGACTCCGCTCCGCCCACGCTGGCGGCGGTGCTCGGGGAGCCTCTGGCGGCTGCGGCGGCGGGGGAGGAGGCCGGGAGCGCGGCGAAGCGCGCCGCGGAGTGGGGGCTGGTGCTGAAGACGGACACGGAGACGGGGAGGCCGCAGGGAGTGGCGGCGGCGCGGAGCTCCGGCGGGGAGGAGGCGAGCGGGAAGGGGTCTCGGAGGGACTCCGGGAACTCGGTGAGAAGCTCCGGCGAGTCTTCCGACGAGGGAAGGGAGCAGCGCGGCGGAATACCGCGGGTGTCGGAGGACCTGAGGGAGGCGTTGTCGGCGTTTCAACAAACTTTCGTGGTTTCGGATGCTACCAAACCCGATTACCCGATTATGTATGCTAGTGCCGGGTTTTTCAAGATGACGGGTTATACGTCCAAGGAGGTCATTGGGAGAAACTGGTATTTTTTTTTATAATTTATTTAATATTTGAATATTTGAAAAAACCGGAAAAAGAAAAAAAAGTGTAAGTAAAGTATAAGGAAAAGGAGCATGTAATATGTAAATGTAAATGTAAATGTAAAGGGTGTTTGTTTTGTGTGTGGCAGTCGGTTTATGCAGGGCGCAGACACGGATCCGGATGATGTGGCAAAGATAAGGGAAGCCTTAGAAAGAGGGTCTACTTATTGCGGAAGGTTACTTAACTACAAGAAGGATGGGACTCCCTTTTGGAACCTTCTCACTATTGCCCCTATCAAAGATCACCATGGCAATCTCCTCAAATTTATCGGGTACTTATTACTCTATGTCTTTAACTATTCGGACCTTATATTATAGTGACAACGAATTGACTTTTCATTGGTTTGGTCGGGGAGAGTTGGACCAGTTTCACTTCACTCTCCACACTCATATTCACCATCCTCAACTCTCTTTTCTCAATTCTCTTCATTCAAAACGTATTCTCTTCCTATTTATTTACTCTCAGGATCCGCCTAAAGTCAATCAGTAAAAAAATATTATGATTCATCATATTTTGTAAAGTTTTTGTGTAATGAGTTTTTTTTTTTTTTTTTAACAATCTGTATAATAAGTTAATAACTACTATTATTTTTCTGTAATTTATTCTAATTCTTAATCAAATGGATTTTTTTTTTGTTTATTTATCTCGTGTCTCATGGTTTGGGCCATTCAACTATCTGGGCTCTTTATATATATATATATGTATATATTTATTTATTTATGAAATTTGCCACAATAAGTATATATTGAGGTAATATATGAGTTTTGTAATGGTAGGATTTGGGTAAATTGCGTTGGTTTATACTAGTGTTATATATATAGAAGGTTTTTTTTTTTTTTTTTCCAAATATTTTATTATGTTGGGCCAAATAGATCTTCTTAAATCCATATCTTTGTCACTGTTCTGCAAACTGAATTATTCATTACTTGGCATTGATTGCATGAGATTAACAAACAGGAGACAAAAGGAGGCATTGATTGCACGTGTGTCTCTTTTTTATTTTCATTTTTTTGTTACAATTGCACGTGGGTCTTGATGTAATGGAACGGTAGCATGCATCATTGTCTGATACGTACAAGATTTGAGTCTCCCCAATCACTTTTAGAAGAAAAAAAAAGAAAGAATTTCAGAACTATAAGATAATTACTAATTCAAAAAATACTTTAATTTTTTTATTATAATTTTATAAAGTCTTCTATATGTGAATGTATTTGATCATAATTTTAATTATTTTCGTACTTGATAAAAAAAAAAAGTTAAATTCCAAAAAAAAATGCTCTCAACATATTTTTTTGGACATATATTATTAAATAAATTTCATGTAAGTCATACTAAAATGAAAATAAGTGCAATGGGTTTATTTTTTCCTTCTAAATAACACAATAATAAAATATATTATCAGTATTTGTTTGTGCACTAGCTTAAAAGCATATTGTGTGTAATGAGATGGTGGCAGAATGCAAGTGGAGGTTAGCAAGCATACAGAGGGGACGAAGGAGAAGATGCTACGTCCCAATGGATTGCCCGAATCTTTGATTCGATATGATGGTATGTATCCCACATATTCTAACCTATATATTTAACATAACAATTAACTTGACTCAAACTGATTTTAAAACCTTTTTTTTATGAGAGAATTTATGGTTTTAATTCAATTTTTATTTATCATACATGTTTATAAATTAAATATTAATATTTTAAAATAAACAAGATAATTTTGTACTGTTACATAAATTATTTATTATAAATTTAAAATATAATTTATATATTCAAACATAATATAATTAATTAATTAATTATAATTTTTAATTATAATATATATATATATATATATGTATATTCCGCATGCTAGTACTTAAATAACTGTGTAACCTCAAGCTATGTAACAAATTTAATAAATAAATACATTAATGGGCCGTTGGCCCTGTTTTTAATAAAAATAATAATAATTACATTTTAATTTATTAAATAAGATGTGTATAAGTAACAAATTATTCTATAGTTAGTCATATTACATCAAGTGGGCCGCGAAGAATTTGTCTCATCAATAAAAGCACACTCATAAGTGAAACAAAGACTAGACCTTTGTTACTTTGTAGGTGTATTTGTTGTTCTCAAAATTGGATTACATCAGCCGTTCGACCAATCGATTCCTAGTTTAATAGTTCGAGAGAATCATAAAATTGGTGTGTAAAAAAATTAAATAAATCAGCTCAAAACCGGTATAAAAAAAAAAAAACTGGTTGAATCGATTTTTAAAATATATTTTTTATTTTAAAGATTTTTTTGATAAATAAATATAATTAATACAAATTATAAATAAAAATAATTTTTTTATTTATTATTTTTAATATTTTCTTATAAAAATATAATTTATTCTTTTATATTAATTTATAATTTTTATATCATGATATTTTATATTTTATATTATATTAATTTAATAATTTTTTATTCTAAATATAAAATTGTTAATATACATTGCTATATTTTATTAAAATTTAAAATTAAATATTATATTTAGACTTTTACATGAATTTTAAAAATAAAAATATATAAAAAGTTGTTTTTGTTTTAATTTTAGTTTTATAAAATTATGATATTATATTTATATAATATTATTTTTTGTATTATTTAAATATTACATAGTATCGGTCCAATTATGATTAAATCATTGAACTTTGAATTAGTATCTTTTATGATTAAACCATTGAACTTTAAATTAGTATCTTAAGTAGTTGTGGAAAGGAGTTAATTGATAGAACTGTAACAATGTGTACAAAAAAGTTTTTAAAAATCACTTTTTTTTATATTATTACTTTGCTATGGTATAAGGAAAACCTCACTACTAGAGTGGTGTTTAAAGAAGAGCCGATTGAACAAGAGGTAAAAAGCTAAAAGGGAAAAAAAAAATTACCTGTCATAAACTTGAAACTAATATTTTAATTTAGTTAAGGTAACATGATAAACTTTTATATTTATAAATAAATAATTGTCAAGCTATAGGCATCCTTTAAATTTATTTTACAGTAATTAATATCAACATACAAACATTTTAATAAATGTTATAATAATAGTTGAAGTGGATGGAGATGACGGCAGGACTAGTTTAAATCTAGATCAATTCAATTGGTATACACACAAATTATAAGTTCTGATCCAAGTTATAACAACGGTAGTCCAATAACATTATCGATTAATGAAGAGGATAAGAAGCAAAACTAAACAACGGATGGTCTTAGAATTCCTATGATTTATCACAAAGGAAATAGCTAGGCAACCATTAAGCATGTTTCAAACCATACAAGGCACAATTTACATGCTGAAAGTAAGTGTTGTTATGTCACATATGCTTCATAAATAATGCATGGACATGGAGATAAAGATATAAATAGATGAGAGAGAAGGGTGGACGTGATGGATGATATGATAGGATAAAAAAATAGAGAAAAAATAATGATGAATGTTGTGCATAGTATACTTTGACAACTAAGCTAACAGGTTGGGTATTGCTCATATAGCTCGTCAGAAAGAGAAGGCAAATAGTTCAGTATCTGAGTTGGTGTTGGCTGTAAGAAGGCCTCGGGCACTGAGTGAATCAGGAGGTCGTCCCTTGATCAGAAAGTCAGCATCCGGTGATGATGCACAAGAGAAACCAGAAAAGTCATCTAGGAGAAAATCTGAGAGTGTGGCTTCTTTTAGACGAAAATCACATGCGGGAGACAGAAGTTCAATGGAGAGAATCGCTGAGATACCTGAAAAGAAACACAAGAACTCTCGTCGTCGTTCTTTCATGGGGTATGTATGCATGCTCTTTTACTTTACTTATATACACAAAAGAACAAATAGCTTATGGACTATTTTTAAAAATACAAGTTTTCTTTCATGAGGGATGGATATGAGCATCTAGTGTGTTTTTTAACTAGTTTTTTAAGTGTTCTACAAGTTTTATAATATGCAGTTTATGTTTGATCCTATATTTCAACTTTGTCTTTCTAATTTCTATAAATCTATGTTTCAGGTTCATCAGGAAAAGTCAATCTAACTTTGGAAGCTTTAATGATGAAGCGATTGTTGAGGACAGCTCTGTGAGTAGTGATGATGATGATGATGAAAGGCCTGATAGTTTTGATGGAAAAGTACATAAGAAGGAAAAGAGAAAGGGTCTTGATCTTGCTACCACTCTTGAACGTATTGAGAAAAACTTTGTCATTACTGATCCAAGGCTACCCGACAACCCCATTGTAAGATGATTTTTCTATTTTATTATTATTACTATTATCATTTATGATGCAACAAAAATGCTGAATTTTTATATGGGATTCATGTACTGAATATGAGCTTAAAAGGGTTGGGTTTTATTTGGTTTTCCAGATCTTTGCATCTGATAGCTTCTTAGAGCTTACAGAGTACAGTCGTGAAGAAATCTTGGGAAGAAACTGCAGGTATGCTTTAAATTAATGTATACTTACCATGAAAAAGAATACCAAACTACTTTGGTTCATATCTACCCATTAAAATTGATATTACATAGAGTATTGTCTATATTGTAAATTGATGTTTCTAACTTTACCTAAGGCTTCATTTACTAGAGTATGAAGATTCCACGAAAGATGAATGGAAAAATTCTGTAAAAAAAAAAAAAAGCTTTAATTTTTGCAAACATAATTTATACCAATAATAAAGGAAATTATTCCATTTTGCATTATCCCTATAATTACTTCTTAGACGACTACTCTTCTTTTCCCACCATTTTTTTTATTTAGTTTTTATATTTTTATTTTTCCTACTTTTCAAAATCACTTAAAAACTACTCATACAAATACAACTACTTAAAAATTATCCATATTGTTAACAACTTATTTTTATTTTTTAGATCGTTAATGACTCACTTTTATTTTATATTTTAAAAATACATACATCGATAAAGCAAATTACAAAAAACTTTAGGAAACTTGATAAATGATAATTTTCTCCAAAAATCTTCCAAAGATTGATATACCTGGAAATGATCTGGAAGATGTTTGTATAATGCCAAAACAAGTGGTATTTATTTACATGTTATATGGTGATATAGGTTTCTGCAAGGACCTGAAACTGATCCAGCAACGGTGAGAAAAATTAGAGAGGCTATTGACAATCAAACTGATGTCACTGTGCAACTCATTAATTATACAAAGAGTGGTAAGCTTATTAGACCCAGTTCAATAAGCTAATTTTTTTCATATTGAATTTTTAGCAGGTATTACATGAATAATTCATACAGTAGTGTATGAAAAAGTTCTCAGGATATCCAATGCTACGCTATATTTTGTTTATTAAAAGGAAACAAAAATGTTAGTATCCATATTTGTTTTCCAGGAATAACATGTATGTGTAGTAGCAGATGAAAAAAAGTTCAATATTTCAACGTATATCCTTGTTTTCATATCATGAATCCTTCTCATAGTTTTCACAAGAAAATAATTGTTTAACAACTTGAAGCCAAATAAGGTTGCTAATATTATTCTGCTCTATTCAGGTAAAAAGTTTTGGAACTTGTTTCATTTGCAACCTATGCGTGACCAGAAGGTATAGTTTGTGATAGTCCTCTGAAGTGAAGGTGTTGTGTATTAATGTCTTGCCATTACTTTTTTTTTTTTTTTTTTTTTTTAATTTTTTTTTTGTTAACTCAAAACTCATTTACCAAACCTTCCAATCGAAACATAGATTAACTTGTTTCTCTTTCTTTGTTTAACAGGGAGAGGTACAATATTTTATTGGAGTTCAACTTGATGGTAGTCAACATGTGGAGCCTCTTCACAATGGCATTGCAGAAGATACTGCAAAAGAGGGAGAACAATTGGTTTGGTTTCTATCCAAATGCTTCATTAGTTTAACATATATTGAAATCTTCAATTTTCGGGGTTTCGACATCATATATATCAAATAATGGCTTTTAGTTTGAAAGTCGATAGAAGTTTATAGTTCCCTATTATGCTTTGTGATTTCCAAGTTATAACGAGTTTATTTGACATCAATCTTCAGGTAAAGGAAACAGCTGAAAATGTTGATGATGCACTGAGAGAACTTCCAGATGCTAATATGGTAATTTCCCTTAGTTATTTGTATCCTCTGAAAAGCTTTTGCATTCAATTTTTCTCATAATCTTTTGGCTAACTTCAGAAACCAGAAGATTTATGGATGAATCATTCAAGAGTGGTTCACCCCAAACCTCATAGAAGGGATGAAGCTGCTTGGAGGGCTATTAAGAAGGTATTAGTTATGTATTTGAAATTAAGCCATTTTCCAGTATTTCTTGTTATTTCTATTAACCAACTAAACTTAAGAAAGACTAAACAAATTATGACCATAAACAACTAACATTGACATATGTGGTCAACATTGCAACATGTTCCATTTGACATTTGTGTTGGCTTCCATTATTGTCTTGCCTTTTCTAGACTATCTGACCCCCCACTCCCCTTCTCTTTAAATCTCACAATAAGATCAAATATCATGTATTTTTTTTTTTTTTCAATTTCATTTTTCTACAATAACGTTCTAGGATAGAAATATTTTTATCATTTTTTTAGATTTTTTTGGAAATGATATTTTTAATTATGCATTGTATTGAAGATTTGAATTGGTAAACATGACATCAAACATCCTTCTTTATCTATATGGTTGTTATATTTTGAATTTTTTTCCCAAACACTTTCTGAATATCTCATGTAAGTTGCATTTTGCAAATTGATTATGTGACCATTTGTTTTGCAGATTTTAGATAGTGGAGAGCAAATAGGCTTGAATCATTTTAGACCAGTTAAACCTTTGGGATCAGGAGATACCGGCAGGTTTTCTTCTTGATTCTCTTTTCAACTTCCCAGGATTTGAAATGGGCATAAACAAGTAGCATGTGGCTTAAATTAATTGCTAGTTGAAACAAATTGTAACTATATGACAATGATGCTTTGGAAACATAATACAAGGAACCTAATTAATGGTCAAACCTGAAACTATACTTTCATCATATGTTCAGTCCCTTTCAGCGTGGTGGATTCAACTGCAACAACAACTTATGATCTTTTTTTTTTTTAATGATTTCACCGCTCCAAGTATTACCAACTTACTAGATTGGTTCAATTGTCTATGTTTCTTAGTGTAACGAGTGATTTTAAACTAGTAAGTCTAATATTTCTTCAATGGAATTTTGGCAGATATTATAGACTTATATGAACTAGTCTGTAGTTTAGCTATTTCTGAAAATTTAAAACCTTGATTAGAATATTTTCATTGATTTGAGTGATCTGAAATTTTTCTTTGTTTATTATTTTTTCCAATCAAACTTATGGGCAATGTTATTATATCAATTGTTTATTGGCTTTCAGTGTCTATCTGGTGGAGCTATGTGAAACTGGTCAATATTTTGCCATGAAGGCTATGGAAAAAGGTGTTATGCTCAATCGTAACAAGGTATATAATATAATTATTTGATAAATTTTTTTCTTTTTTCTTGTCACCTCCTACCATCAATAGTTTTAGAAATTTTACATGGAAGTTTGTAAGGTATCGACTTCATTTTTTATTAGTTAAAACAATTTTATCCTACTGGGTCACTTGCAGGTGCATAGAGCTTGCACAGAAAGAGAGATCCTCGACATGTTAGACCATCCTTTTCTTCCTGCATTATATGCTTCTTTTCAGGTTTGAAACTCTATCATTTTAAAGTAAGATAGTTTAATAGAGTAATGAAAATGATACTTAAACTATCACTGATTAGAGAAACTCTTTATATACAGATACAATTATAACTACCAATTGTCTAACATGCTAAATTATAACTACAAGATGAATATAAGAGTAACTAACAACTAAAATATAGTTATATTTTACATCTTCTTTCAATAGTTATTATTTATTAGAGAGAAGAGGAACATCAGGATCTTAATGATTACTCACCCTGTTGCCACTCTTTTCAAGCATGTGCTTAAAAAGTGCAAATATGTCAGAACTCACAAGCTCTTTAAGATACATCATTGCTTCCATAGAGGATGGTTTCACACATTATATTTACAATGTTGTTATATATTATGCATTTATTTCCTATTTCATTTAATTCAAAAACTTATTAGATATCAAACGATACATACATACTACTTATAATAAAATGAAATTGTAAATTCTTCGAAACTTGATTAATTTGCAGACCAAGACACATGTTTGTTTGATAACTGATTATTGTTCTGGTGGAGAACTATTCCTTCTTCTTGACCGACAACCAGCTAAGGTTCTCAGGGAAGATGCAGTGAGGTATATACTATACTCACACATAATGCTAAATTATCTTCTTGTATACTCACCACTCTCACTCTTATTATGTACCAAAGCAATTTTGTCCATTTATTTGGAATTTGCTTACATGATTTATTTCCTTTATTGAGTTGACAACATATTTATCTTACCGTTGAGAGTGAAAACGAGTTGAGTTAAGTTGAATTCTTGAAATTTGGGTTTGATTTGTAAGAAGAAAAATTTGATTGCTTAAGCTTATTTTAATTATTTAATCAAACCTAATTGAAAATTTGAATTTGACTTGTTGAAAAAAATCAAGTTTGATTTTGGCTTGTTTAGCTTATTTATAACTTAATTATTTTTACTTTTTATGAAATTTTTCTTAAATTATTTTTTGACTTTATCAACGTAGTATTTAATATTATCTTAATATGGTACAATTATTTACTAATAAAAAAAATGCGCTTAACATGTGATCTGTGGAACTAATTTTTTTAGACAACTATATTTTCATAATTTAGTAATTAAAAAATTATAACTTATTGACTATTATAAAATAGAAACTTCAAAATTAATTTAACATTTTTTTAGAGACAACAATATTTTTCATTTTGGGAAGAAAAAAAAAATATTAATATAAATAAATTATTCACAAACTCTTAATATCAAACTTAGGTCCAACTCATGTAAATAATGAAAACTACTCTCAAATTTGAATAAGTTTATTTAATTAAACAAACAATGAATAATTCACGAGTTGAACTTGATTAATTCATGAATAAGTAGGAGTCCTTTACACCTCCATGTACCTTTGATACTTATTGTTTCACAATTTCATGTGTTTCCTCTTCTCCACCTTATGCACATAAAAGACAACAATGTTCTTCTTATGGATTTAGATTGTTACAAGCTAACCTTTATGTGTGGTCTGTTTTTCACTGCAACTTTAGTAAATAGTGTTCAATATTAAAAACAAAAACAAAAGATACTTATTTAACAATGTTGACTACTTATGTTTCTCTACTTTCCTTTCTGACATAGTGTGCTTAATAATAATAGGTTTTATGCCGCTGAAGTAGTTGTTGCGTTGGAGTATCTTCATTACCAAGGTAGGTTCCTATTCATCACACATATGACATGATGACGATAATATTATTATTATGGTAATAGCGATAAATAGTGTTGTTACCTTTTTAACTCGTGAACTTCTTTTCAAATTGGGAAGTGTTTAATCGACGAAATCTTTCCAAACCTCTTATCAAAATCAATATATTAGGCGACAAACATCTATAGATGTTCTGAAATATTTTTCTCACAAAATTATCAAATGTTTTAAGATGTCTCATTAGCATTATATAATCCTCTCTTATTGTGAAATTCTGTCCTAGCAATAAAATGTTGTCACTTAAAATTAATATTTGTGTACACCAAGACACAAACAACATATCGTAATATATTGTTTGGTGAGAATTCACAGGGATAATATATCGGGATTTGAAGCCAGAAAATGTATTACTCCAGAGTAGTGGACACGTGTCTCTAACAGATTTTGATTTGTCATGTTTAACGTCTTGCAAACCACAGGTATCTTGGAGACACGAACTTAAAATTATGAAGTTTTTATTTAGAAGTAATACTTTTTAACTCCATTGAAACAAAACTAAGCCATGTCTGATTGCACACTTTACAGCTTCTAGTTCCAGCTATAAATGAAAAGAAGAAAGCACAGAAAAGCCAACATGCTCCAATATTTATGGCTGAACCTATGAGAGCATCAAATTCTTTTGTGGGCACAGAAGAGTACATAGCTCCGGTTCGTTGTTTCTAGACAATATTATTTCTTAAGCAACAAATCATTTATAGACACCAAATTCCTAGTGAAACATGGATGATATAGTTAACGTGTTTAACTTTATAATTTGAAAGACCAAGTTGAATTGTTAGAAGATACACATTATTGTTATTCCAACATGGAGAGTAAAGATCATTTTTTTCTTTCTTTTGAGCGGCATGGGGTGGAATCCTGGTTGTCGTACAAATTATTTTATTCATGTCATTGAAGCTTCATTGAATTTTGTAGCCATTTCTCACACGTTGTTGTAATTGACTGTTCAATGTTTGTGCAGGAAATTATAACGGGTTCAGGCCATACAAGTGCTGTGGATTGGTGGGCTCTTGGTAATTTTAATTCTTACAATAAATCAAGACTATTAGACACTAAATCACTTTAAAAAAAAGGAATGCATTGTATATTTACTGTGTTGTGGATATGTTTATGTTTTTGTAGATTAAAAAAATTGAAAAAGTTTGGATTCTATCAGTGAAAACTTTTGCCTTGGTTAAATCAGACAATAACACAGTTTTTCTTAATCCTTTGCCTTTTTCCACCCTTTTCTGACTTGGGCATGTGCCCAAATTTTTTTCCATTAATTGAATTTAATGGCCGGAATGTAATCCATTAGTCTCTTTCACATAAAAGGTACTTGACTAATTAGTACAGATAAACTTCAAAACATATTTTGACTACATGCATTACTTTTTTCAGGAATTCTTCTGTATGAAATGTTTTATGGGTATACACCATTCAGGGGAAAGACTAGACAAAGAACATTTACAAATATTCTCCACAAGAACATTAAATTTCCCAAAAATAAACAGGTGAGGTTGTGTTCCTGCATAATCTAGTGATTACATTGGTTGTTTACACATTGCTTCTGTGTGACATTAGATCCATCTTTATACTTCTAAAAAAATTATTCAAACTTAATTAAGCAATAGTAAACGCAACTTAATATTCAAATTTGATGCTTAGATTGTATACCTGGTGCGACATAGATTCCTATTGTAACCAAAGTGTAAAACTTTATATTTCTTGGTGGAACATGAGACTCAATATATTCTTGCATAAGGAAGCATTTTCTTGAAAATTAAGGAATGAAAGAGTAAAAAAAAATTAAAATATGAATCACGAATGTTAAATTGCATTTATAGTCTCCGTGTGGGATTTTAGATTAATATATCACATTCAATTGACTTTTAATCATGCGCATTTATTTTGAAATTAAATATTAATTTTTAATCTTGCCTCGCTGGAAAACCAACTTTCTTAAGTTCATTTTTTGTCATCACAAAAAATGGAACTATTGAAAACTTGGTTCTATACTAAAATAGATGTAATAGGTTAAAGACTCCCAAGTGTTCCAAATATTTCTAAACCAGTGAAATACAATATTTTAAGGGTTTTTCCATTCTATTTCAAAAGTTACTTGTGCATGATTTTTTTAAATCAATACATTATGTATATGTAAAATCACGGTGCAGGTAAGTTTTAGTGCAAAGCAGTTAATGTACCGGTTGTTGAATAGAGACCCCAAAAGCAGATTGGGTTCAAGAGAGGGAGCAAACGAAATTAAGAACCATCCATTCTTTCGGGGTGTAAATTGGGCCCTAGTTCGTTGCACGGTAACATAAATAAAGCTAATTATTGCTATACTATGTTTTCCTTCATCCTCTATTCCATATTGTCCTTTTTACATGTTTGATTAAACATTCACGTGTTACCAGAAACCTCCTGAGTTGGATGCTCCTCTTGAGTCAACCGAAGGAGAAAACGAAGCCAACTATGAAGATCACGTGCAAGAGGAGATGAACGTCTTCTAAAAAGGTCTATATATAGATATATTGTTATACACATGGATTGATACAAGTGATTGTAATTCATATCTCTTAATCAAATTATTTAGAAATCAAATCCTAGTCTCAAATATAAAATAAATTATATTAGGAGGAGAATATTTATCTTATACATTTTCAACAAAATTTAGTCATTATTTTCAATGATAGATATTTCTCTAACTCATTTCTCTTTCATCTTTTATGATGTTTCCCTTCTCTATCTTTGAACAAATAAAAATTAATTAATAAAAAAAATGAGTTGGAGAATGAAATTAATAAGAAAGAGAAAATGTTTTCTTTTCTTTTAAAATTAAATTAAATTACTATAATATTCTTTATACAAATTAATCAAATCAAAATAAGTGAGTGATTTTCTTGTCCTAAAATTTTGGTTGTTAACATACTCTAACTAAAAAATAAGTAGAAGTATATTAGTAATTTCTCTATATATATAATACATATGTTAGATGAAAGTATATGAGTGTGAGAATAGATAACCTTATAACTATTCATTCTTTAAGTTAGGTATTTAAATTATGGACATGGTCATAGTTTTTTTAATATTGTAGGAAATTGCGTTCTATTCATCCATAGTTATGGTTGCATTATGGTTCTCGACTCTGAAAAAACCTTATTGTTGTGGTTGAAACTTTTAGAAAACCTTGCTCTCAGGTGTTTTTGCATTGTCAAGATCTCGCATGTCTCTTGTGATCTCACTACACGCAGAATTTTAGTGACTAAAGCTAAATTATTGTCTTTTGTATTACAGGTTAGAGGATGATGTTATATCTACTTCACGATATATACTTTTGAGTTATTGCCTTATTGAGTCGGTGGTACTTATTTGTGTTCTTTGATCAATGGTATAGCCAAGTTCAGGAATCCAAGTTTGATTTTGTAACATGTTCATTGTAATTTATGAATGGTGTGATGTTTCAAAGTTACCTAGTGATGGTGTAAATCCTTTGTCTTAATTTATTGTGTTTTTCTTATCCCTTTCATTCTCTATCTAATTTATTGCGATATCAATAAATAACAGTGTTTCATTATAAGTTAGTTTTAATTTATAAAAAAAAATTATTTTTTCTCATAAAAGTGTTTATAATAAAAAATTTATCCAAGACAAAAAATCAGAAATAGGAACTAGAGAAATATAAAGAAAGGAAATCAACTAATTAGGTTTTATGTAACGGTGATACCGTGTACGTTGTTCTTAATTTCCTACCCTAAATTTGTTTCTTCTAACTCCATTTCTTTGTCTTCCCTTTTAAAAGAATTGATGCATAGCTCATAACATGTGATGCACCTAACAAAATGAATAATTGAATATATATATATATATGTATAATACATCAAAGGGGGACTAGGACCGGTGATTAAAGATTGTAGTATAAAAAATAAAGGCCAATACATGTATAATACATCAAAGGAGAACTAGGATTGGTGATTAAAGATGATAATGAATAGCATTTAGGTAGGATTTCAACAAAATTCTAAGATATATAAAAACTAAAACTAAATAATAGAAATTTAGAAATTAAATAAATTTAACTATTAAAAATATATTTTATCTTAAGAAAATGTTATATATATTTTTGTATATCTTTAAATATATAATTGTCTGCTTTTAGTTTCTAAAAAAATCATTTTTCAATTTCTTATTTTTAGGAAAATTTCAAACATATGTGATTCTTATCCTATATCAATTTTTTTTTTAATCTCTTGCTTAACAAAAATATCAATCATGTATTTCTGAATAATAATAATAATAATAATAACAACAATCATTTAGAAATAGACTAAAAAAGTGACTTTTTTTCCTAAAAAGCCTAAAGGGGGAAATAGGGATTGGAAACATACTAGTATTAAAAAAAAATTATGCTGAGCTATCACTTACGTTTGTTACGAAGTTAAAATGGAGATCTGAAACGATTTTTTAAAAATATGTGCTTTCATCTTTCAAAGTAGCTCTTGGTGTTCCCATCCCATGAGCCATCGTACACGAACCAATGGAAGAAACCCTAAAGTGTTGACCAAAATAATTTTACAAAGTGTCTTTGGCAATTCATTCAAAGATATTATAAGTTGATTTGATTAAATATTTTACAGTAATTTATTCATTTTTAAAATTTTAAATATTAACTTATAGTAAAAAAATTCCTTGTAAAGACAACTTATAAGTTATACCGTACTACCATGTTTTTCTAACTTATAATAATTCAATACCAGTAAATAATTTTATGAAAAGATTGCAAGTTGGTAAGTGGCTTTCAAAGTATACTAACCATCAGACCTATTTTGTATGAATCCACAATGGTCAGCACAACTGATTATTTGTTACTTATCTAAATTATTAATAAAAGAAATTATGCACATATTTTTTTATTATTATATTTTTATAATTACGTCTCAAACTCTTCTTTTTCTTTCCACTATTTTCTTCAAAGCTGTCCTTACAACTATATAGTTACTCAAAAAATTCTCAGACTCTTTAATTATTAACGAGTCATTATTATTTTATTTTTATTTTTAAAACAATACACATAAATGTGTAGTACTTTTTTATGTTAATTTATACTAATAATAAGTAAAATTATCTTATTTGGTGTCCATTTTTATATATCCTATTTTATCCTTAATAACAACACATAATCTTTAATAATTACATCAACTATTCGAAAAAATTTGCTAAATGCCATTTTTTAATAGAAGCAAAAAGTGTTTTTTTTTCTTACATATATATATATATATGCGCAATTTTATATTTTGATGTACACATTATTTTTCCTTTTAAAAAATGTCGTATTCTTCTATACTTGGAAGATAAAAACTTATTAAGGATAAAAAAGTTAATTTTATTTTGATCCTTTTATTTAAAATTAGATAATACTAATATTATAATTGTATTTCATATAATAAATGTCACACATTTCAAGAGATAATGAGAACATAAAGTGATCAAACATCCAAGCAAGAGGGTCCAGGTCTACTAATAAAGTGGGTACAAGATTGTATAATTAATGACAATTTAGATAAATTGATTAGTTATATATATGTACTAAAAAAGATGCTTATCCTTTTCAAAAGTTGAATATTTAAGAATCTCTTTTCGGTATGCATTAAGGAAGTTTCTAAGAAGACATGTTAAAAAGACTTATTTTAGTAGCTTATAAATCTTCAGTTGTCAAGTAGCTTATAAATCTTCAGTTGTCAATCTGTAAGCCACATGATATTACAATTATTTTAACTATTGACAATTAAAAAATACTAATTATTAAAAAATTGTCAGATTAAAAAGGTAGACAATTAAGAAAATCAATCAATAAATAAATAAATATATATATATATATATAAAGATAAAATATGTGAGACCTTCCTTTTTCCTTTCTTCCCCGACTCACTCTCTACTCTTCTTCTCTTTTCTCAACTTTCACTCTCACTCTCTTTTGCTGATTTCTTCTCTTGGTGGTGCTCTCTTTGGATTGAAGGTGCGGAGTAAGTGTGGAATTGCTTGTTGAGCCGTGTGGAGCTTCCTTTCTTCCTCTTCTTCCCCATTTCGTCTCCGTTGAGCGTCTTCTTCGTCTCGGAGCTCGGAATTCTTGTACCGAGGTAAGGGAAGCTAGGTCTTTAGTTGTTTGGGTTGAAAATGAGTTCCTAAATTCATGGTGTGGCTGAGTTTATGTTGATTGATGAGCTGTTGTGGTGAAAAATGGAGTTTTGGGGTTTTCGGGGTTTTTGAAGAAATTTGGGTTTTTCTTGGATTTGAGGTTGCATGCTGAAAATGAGGTGTTTTCCTTGATGTTTGATGAAAATGTGGACTTTTGGATGGATTGTATGTTGGTTTTCTGGTTGATTTTGCAGGATTTTGATGAAGTTTTTCGAAAGTTAAGGGTTCCTTAGAGTGTTCCTGCTGAGCTTCGCGCTGAGCGCCGTTCTTCGCGCCGGGCGCGTGACCACCTAAGGGCTCCATTTAAGCAAGCTGCCGGGCGCAAAGATGTATGCGCCGGGCGAGTTTGAGAATGTGAGCCTCTGGATGGCCCATGCCGAGCGCGACTCGGACTGCGTCGGGCGCGATATCAGTAGGTAACATGGTTGGGGTGTTCTGGCGTGGCGCCGGGCGTGATCATTGTCGTGTTGGGCGTGGGGACTTCTTGGTCTGCCATGGGGGCGCTGGGCACAATTTGAATTGCGCTGGGCGCGAGACCTTGGGGAGGTCTCTGCCTTCCCTGCGCTGGGCGCGGGTTTGAGCACGCTGGGCGGGTCAGACTCCTTAGAGTCTCTGCCTGGGTTCGCACTAGGCGCAATTTGGTATTGCGCCAGGCGCGTTTGAGCCTTGGACTCTCTGGTTGATGTACGCCAGGCACGGGCACTCTTGCGCCGAGCACGCGGACCCCTGGTGCTCTCTGGTAGTGCCACGCCGAGCGCGACCAGGAGTGCGTCGGGCGCGGAGGTGATGTTGAGCCATATGCTGTTAGGTGTTGTGGAAATGCTGAGAAATGTTGTTTTATGCTGAGTTGGGCTGTTATTGATGATTATTAATGCTGAATTAAAATATTGTTGTACTGTGGACTATTGAGTTGAGTTGTGAGTAGTAAGCTGTGTTGTATACTACTTAGTTGTGCTGTATGTTGATTTGTTGTGCTGTGTTTTGAGCTATGTTAGCTCGGCCGTGAGTTGTTTGGTTGTGCTGTTTAATGCTGAGTTGTATGCTGATTTGTTGTGTTGTGTTTTGAGCTATGTAGCTCGACTGTGAGTTGTTTGGTTGTGCTGTTTAATGCTGAGTTGTATGCTGATATAGTCGCTAAGCGGTGCTGTTATAGCCGTTAAGTCGGTGTTGTTATTACCGCTAAGCGGTGCTGTTATAGCCACTAGAGTGGTGCTGTTATTGTTGTTATTGCTGCTATGCAGTGCTGATATTGCCGCTTTGCGGTGCTAATATTGCTGAATGCTATGATGTAGTATAAGCTGGTTGATGTGCTGATAGTTGTAGTTGTTTACCATTCATATTGTTATATATGTATGTTGATTTCTTTTCACTAGTTTACCCTTTGTTGTTTCCATTGTGTTTGGACTGCAATGATCATATTGTTATATGGGAGCAGAACAGTGATAGGTTGGTGACTGGTGGTAAGTCTGTAGCTGGCAGATAGAGCTGATCCTTTCGGGTGTTTTGTTGTTTTAGCTACTTGGTGTAGTAGCGATTGATGTATTTTGTACACTTTGACTCTAGCTAGACTTGGACCTTGTATATATATATATTCTAGACACTATATGTATACACTTGTTCTTTTTTGTGTGGTGTTCTGGTGTGTTGTGCTGTGTGTAGTGACCAGTCAGGTCATTACAAAATAAGAGTGGTTTAATATGATTGAAATATAATTTAATTTATTTACTAGTTGTAAAAATAGTGTGTAAAAATAATTATAAAAAAGGACATAAAAATGTCTAATTGAAAGTGGAAGAAAATAGTGAGAATCTCACTTCCTAATGTGTGTATTTTAATTTATTAAAAAATAATAAATTAATGTTGATAAATTAATTTTAAATTATTAAAGATCGTTAAAACATATATAAATTAATTTTAATTATCAATTCATATTACAACACTTTTTTATTTTTTTATTTAAAAAAAAATAACAACAACAAGAAATTGTGCCTTTAGTGTTTACCTTTATGTTATATACATGTGCTTACATCCAAAACCTTGTTAAAAATAAATAAAACACGCATAAATAACTTTGTTAATTATAAAGGAATGGGAATTCAACTTGACACAATGAGATTTCAAATATATTAAATGTCTGGTTGGTTACACATTAAATATTCATATATTCAAAAAAAAGAAAAAGAAAAAAAAACACACACACACACCGAATAACACATAGACACATAAGCTATTGAGAATAGCTTTAAGAGAGATGTGGATCCATTCCCCTTCTATGCAAATCTAAACATGTTATAAGGCATCAATTTTAATTGCTTTTTTTTTTAATTATTCAAACAATTTCTTACATCAACTAATGCCTTTTCTAATAAAAATATTATAAAATACTGTTAGATTTCTAATAGAATAAAAAATATTGACTTATTATATTTTTTTTTTACTAAATTAGTAATTAGGCTTGTCTCATATAAAAAAAATAGAGTAAGATAATCAAATTTACTTAAAAGTCAATTGTCCATGATGTTAGGATTATGTCATGGTATTTGTTTGAGAAAATATTTATATCAAGAAAAAAAAATTATAACCTGTTATTTTTATATAATTATTTCACGCATATGATTCATTTTGAATATAAGTTCTCATAATTTTGTTTTTGATTATCATTCAAAAAATCTATCAACAATTGAAATATGTATATTTTTTTATAAATTATTATTTTTTATTTTATTTTATCAATACGAGACTTTATTTATATTTTAACACATTAAATAATTCATTATATAAAAAAATATAAACACTCAACTATGATACTCTAATCTCAAAATAGTGAATTTTTTTTAAAAGACTACATGTATCATCTAAAAATAATAATAATATTTATTTAATAAATATGACTATTATTAAATACAAATTAAATTGGATAAGTCTGCTAAGGAGGAAAAACTCTTGTTTCATATATTTATATAATAATAATAATAATAAAAAGTATTTTTATAATAAATATTTTTTTAAAAATTCAAATAAGTAAAAAAAAGTTAATTTCCACTCATTTTCTGATTTTGTGTTTGACTAAACATTATTTTCACCTATGTGTTACCTAATTTTCGTCTCATCACTTAACTTCTTTCCTTATCATCCTCTCTACGAAGGAGAGAGTTAATGTCTAAACCAAAAAAGCATCCACCAATATTATTGTGAATAGAAGAAAAGATAGGGAAATTAGGAAGGGTTAAATGAGAGGAGGTTGGTGAAGTAGAAAGGGAGTAGGGACATGGCACTTATAATGTAATGTGAAGGAGTCGTGAGTTGTTTTTGTTAATTAAGAATTGTTGGAGACCACTCACACACACTCTCACGAACCTTCAATAATGGGAGGAGAGAGCGCTCAGAAATCCACCCGAGAGGTGTCAGCGATGATAAAACAAGGTTTCATACCCGACACGACCCTCTCTTTCTCACCTTCTAGAACCTTCTCTCCGCCACCTTCCACCACTCGCCCGACTCACACTCACACGCAAACCCTCTTCGACATGATGTCCGAGGACAACAAATTCTCCGACCACAAGCGCCGCCAAATGCACGATCGCCTCGCCGGGCTGCTCGCCGAGCCCGCCCTGCGCGGCGGCGACGTCAGGGTCGCGGTGGTCGGAAGGGACGGCCTGAGGGTCTCCATGGAGGCGCGCAAGACCGTCCTCGCCGACAAGAGCCGCTTCTTCGCCGAGAAGTTTCGCTGCGACGGCGCCTTCTCCCACTCCGTCGAGATCAGCGACTGCGACGACGTCCAAGTCTACGTTGAGGCTGTCGTTTTGATGCACTGCCATGATCTCAAGCTGCGCTTGCGCCAAATGTGCCAAGGGGTTCCTAAAATTTTGAGCTTGCTCAAGGTACCTGTGTTCAATACTCTCATGATTATTATTGCTACATGGTTGATTTCAAGATATATTGTTGTGGAGGGAGTGATTAACTAACGCTGTTATTAGGTAGTGTTTGGTGATTGGTTATTTATTCCACATTCCATATCATAATTAAACCCCACGTTAGTGCTTAGTTGGTTCTTTTGATGATGTTATTCACTCACTGGGTCCTGTAATGTTGGTAATTCATATCATATCACCATGTTATGGAGGGGAATTTTTACTATTGGATCTTATCTATATGACAACATTGGTGCTTTCTTGATGTTCATTCTTTGGTTTTTGACTGAGATTTGTTTGTTATGTTCATATTTTTTGTTTTGTAGGTGTCAGCGGCTATCATGTTTGACTTGGGGGTTTTATCGTGCCTTGAATATTTGGAAACTATTCCATGGACTGAGGATGAACAGGAGGAAGTCATGTCTCAGCTAGAACATTTGCAGCTTCATGACCCTGCATCCGAAGTTCTTCTTAGAGTATCATCTGATCCATCTACTGCTGATAGTGCTGATGACATCTTCTTGAACCTGCTAAGTGGTGTTCTACAAGCGAAAGACGACAAGGCTCGCAGGGAAATGAAGGCTCTGCTGTCTAGGTTGTTTAAAGAGAATGCATCTAATGATAGCAGCATACTTGATGTGTCTAAAGACACACTCTATCATCTTTGCCACAAGTGCATCAGTTCTCTTCTCCTATGCCTGTCCGAAGCGACCCTGGACGGCGATGAGAGGCCAGATCGGGCGGTTATAATGGCCGACATAACTCGCGAAGCTGACAACATTCAGTGGATTGTTGACATTTTGATTGGCAAAAAGATGGGTGATGAATTTGTGAAAATATGGGCAGACCAGAAAGAGCTTGCTGCACTTCATTCCAAGGTTCCAACGGTTTACCGGCACGAGATCAGTAGAATCACAGCGCAACTATGCATTGGGATTGGAAGGGGACACATACTGGTACCAAAAGAAATTCGATTTTCCTTGTTGTCGACATGGCTAGAAGCTCTATATGATGATTTTGGATGGATGAGGAGAGCTTCAAGAGCTGTTGATAAAAAATTGGTTGAGGATGGACTAAGCCAAACTATTTTGACACTTCCTTTACTCCAACAGCAAACTGTGTTGCTCAATTGGTTTGATAGATTTCTTAATAAAGGAGATGACTGTCCGAATATTCAGAAGGCTTTTGAGATTTGGTGGAGAAGGGCCTTCATCAGACAATATTCAGCTGAGCCTGATAATTCCCAGTTGCAAATAGCTCTCTCTGATTACCGAAGCTGAAAAGTATGCAATGGACCTTAAAAGAAAAGAGATTAATTCACAATTGTAAATAAGAAGTGCCATTTTGCATTTTTTTTTTCCCACTTTTGCTTTTGCTTGTTATAAGCAATTTGTATTTTCATTTTTGCCCATTTCCTTATTTATACCCGAAAATAGGTGAAAGCCGTGTAACCTGGACTCAGGGAAAGCTTTTATTGAAGATAAACATTGAAGGGTAGGAGAATTGGGGGGAAATTTGTGAAATATGTAGAAGCATTTGTTGTTCTTGCTAAAGGGATGGATTGAAATGGTGTAAACTTTGCCCTTGTATCGGAGGAATAAATAAAATGAATTTTGAGAATTCAACACAACAAATTTCAATGTGAAAGACTAGAGTGATATCACCACTGTCACGGATTCAAACGTAAAAACTGTCATTTTGGAATTTCAAAAGAATTATGGAAAATATACACAATCTGATAAATTGCTATATTAAAAGTTACAAATTTTCATACGAATTAAAAAAAAAATCACTTCATCGCGCCATCTTACTTTGAAGTATTTATCCTCATTTACCAGCAAAAGGACATGCTTTATCATGTTTATACATCCACTTATTTATTATTTTTATAAGGAAATTATGATCACGCACCCCATTTTGGAGGTGAATTGGGATGGAAGAAGAGATAAAAAAAAAATAGAAAGAGAAAATAATAAATGAAATATATAATACAATAACAAAAAATTGTAGATGTGTACCCAGACATGCATTATCATATTTATATATCCACATCTTTATTTTTTTATAAGGAAAATTATAAGCACCCACCCTATTTTGGGGTGGATTGGGATGAAAGGAGAAGAGATTAAAAAAAATAAATAAGAGATAGAAAATAATAAATGTAATATATTCCCATCATTAGTCTCCTTTAATGATAGGCTCCTGACTAGGAGAGAGATTCGGATCTGATGCGTCTGAGTCTGAACAGCTGTTCATCATTGATTCGTCATAGTAAAGGTCTTCATCGTTTTCTTCTAGGTCATTAGCTGTCTGGAACTGTTCGTCAGGAACGTAGAACTCAGTTCTGCTCATGAAAGCTTTGATTCCTTGATGACTTGACTGAGAAGGAATTAGGCGGCTGTGTGATGAACTGGCGATCAAATTTGGAAAAGATGTTGGATTCTTTTAGCAAAACAGGCAAAGAAGAAGTATTTGGGAGAGAAAACTTATCATCCCTCAAGAAATGATTGAGGGGCTTGATATTCTGATAAATCCAGATAAGGATGATTATTTATTTTGGACTTTATTAGAATGGTTCTCACCCTTGACTTGGTGGAGAAGTGAGTTAAAAAAGGTTATCAATTTTAAAAAAAAAACAAAAGAGAAAGACTAGAGAACAACGTGAGTCCGTCGTAGTGACTAGGCCCGGGCGACTGTTTACAAAAAATATAGGTCTCCGCAAAGTCGTAAGACCATGTATAGGAGCTGACGCTTGTCCAGTGCCGGAAGATCAAGGAAGTTAGTGACTTGATGACATGGGAGAGGTAAAATAAAAACGAAATAAAAGTGAGTTGTATATTTATAATTACACTTTTGAAAACGAGGAGATTGAGAAGAGGAAAAAAAAAAAAAGAATTACAATATAGTATTACAATGTTACTTCATAAAAAGAAATTGAAAGTGGAAAGAATACAACTATAGTACATTAGTAGTAAAATGGGTAAATGCACTTCGAGTAATATGGGTCCGGAAAATGTGTACTAACAGGTGGTACCACCTTAGATATTGTTATACAAAACAAATTTAATATCAACTAATGAAAGGTAGATATTGTAATGCATGTATGGCTAAAAGGTGGTACCACCTCTATGGCTCCGTCCATATTTTTTTGTTAATTAAATACGAATACGAATGGAAGTAATTAATTTGTAATGCAGCACTATTTCAAAAAAAAAAAAGTGAAATCATTTAAAGGATAAAATATAGGCAAAAGTATTTACATTGTTAGTCCAGAACGAATTCCTTAGAGTAATGAGTAGTGACGCTTGCACAAAGGTATTTACAATTCTACACAGTTCACGGTTATGAATTCCTTTATCTGAACAATAATAATAATAATTAGAAGCCGATTTCATCAACTCAATCTCATTATACTCATTCACTTATAGTTATATTTTTTACTTTCTTCCCCCTCTCATCTAATGCCTCATTTTTTTAATTTTCTCTTTAGCGAGGCTCCTATGAACTGTATTTCTGGCAAAGAATAATTTATCTATTCCTTTATCTGAGTAGTGAGTTGCCAATTTCATCGTATATATGCAGGTAAAGACGAAATGTACAACTGTAGACGCCCTGCAAGGAAACCCTCCAGCTCGGTCTTACTCTTCCTCTCACTCTCGATTGCCACGATAATGAATATGTTAAGGAAGGCTTGAGATTCAATTCAACATAAAGATGTCAAAATCATATTATGATCCAATTTCAGTTGAAATCAACAATAGATATACCATTGTGGAAGCAAAACCAAATTAAAAAAGGGTAATCTTTCACACATTTCTGCCTCCACAAATATTATCGTTTTTTTTTTCCTTTCTCTTTTGTTCTTTCCAAAATAAACAATAAATGAATATGTAATTTGTATGGAATTACATTTGAACAATATGCTATTTACAGAGTTTTGACTGCCCTAGTTAATTGCTATAAGAGGAAGTCTGGAATCTCTTACGGATTGAGCAGCTTCATATGCCCCAATGTATCTAACATCACCATTTGCATGTTTTGGAGATTTAGCATCCCAGAATGATTTCAATAGTTCTTCAAATGATGGGGTTCTTAGTTCTTCTATGGATGAAACACTCGGTAAATTGAAGGTTCTCTTTCTGGGTGTTGAACAAGATGGCTCATCTACCTGTATTTCACGTAGCAGTTTAAACTCACAAAATTAGAATCCAGCAGCAAGAGTTAAACACCCATTTCCTTGAGAGAGAGAGAGAGAGAAGGTATTTAACTATTTATGTCTCTTCAAGCATGCTAGCAAAACATGTTAAAAATCCGTGTTTTACTTTGGCTGGATGTGGATTGTTTGTTTGTTACCCGAAACTATACATACTACATATGTGCATAATAAGGAACTGGTACTTGGGGTCCCTTACCGCGTATTCACTGAGAAGACATTTCCCCGCATTTTCGGTTATCTCTACAATTCTGTGGAAGTGACCGCCCTTCAATTCTCTCAAGTCACCACAGCATGGGTTAATCATAGAGTTTAGATTCCCACAAGCGTCATGATCAAGTTGCAATGAATCTACAAGCATAAATATTTTTTCAATTGACATCTGTGGCATGATTTATCATGGCATTTATGATGCATAATTATGAGACCGAATACTGACATTCAATGGATGAGTTAATATCCTTGTTTGCTATTTCAGCATCTTCAAGTGTAGTTGATGCAGCACTTGAGAATCGGGCTCGAAGGAGATGATTAGCTTCCATTCCTCCCCTGATCAAAAGCAATTGGGAAAAAATGAAGAAAATATATCGACTGTTTTGATCTCAACAGGGAAAGAAAAACCTACCGAATAATAGTATCCACAGAAGCAGCATTTCTCTTGTCTAGGCTAAGCATGGACTCTTGAGCATTTATCCATTGTTGTGCACCTACTTCTGCCTTCTTGCGGCTGTGCAATTGTTTGTTTAGGGTAGGGCTCAGTGAACAAAAGAGACTATAATAGAGACAAAGTACACGCAGTACATCCTTAATCCATACCAGTACTGAAGAACCTCCACAAGGTCATTCTTTCCAGATTCTACTGCACAAGTATCCTCATGATAGTTGGACTCCGTTTTATCCATGTGAAGTTTCCATTCTGCTTTAACAGAAGAAGTGGACTCTTGCATGGTTAATGTTTCTTGCCTCAGCCTATTGATTTTAGTGTTTGCAGTCTCCCGAAGATCATTAACTGCCATTTGGACCTAACAAGCAAATAAAGAATGGTAAGAATTTACACTAAGGTAGTAACGAAAGGAACTGTAGGTAAGCTTAGCGTGTCTAAAAGAAACAGCTACCAGTTGTTTCTTTCTAGCACTAGAGCTAGCAAGCATTTCTGCCACTTTCTCCAATAGTTGTTTTTCTTCATGTGCAGTACACTCCTACACCCAATAAAGAATAAGATGTATCAAGTTAAAAATAAAAATAAATCCAATCATGATTTGTTCAAATTCAGCAAAAAGGCGTTTCTTCAGTCACCTCAAACTTCTTTTGAAGTTCGTACAATTTCTGATCATTGGTAAACTGTGATTCTTCCACAATTTGGATCAAATTGGACGCATGCATGTGTAATGTCTCAAAGAAGTTCACAGTTATTTTAGACACTGAACGTGTGTTCTCCGCTGCTCTGGCATGTGCCTACATGTAATAGCATAGAATTCAGCATCTCTAACTCTGAAGCTCATCCAACAAACCAGAAATCACGCACCTTTTCCTGTTGTCGAGCATAAGCAGTTAACTTGACCTCTTGCTTTTGGAGACTACTTTGAAGATCATTTAGTAATGAATCAGCTTCTAATGCGATTCCTTTAAAAAGCTGAAGCACAAAAGTTAAATTAAACACACCAAGAAAGCTCGCGTAGGATCAATTTGTATAGTGTAAGAGATAGCCTTACATCATCCAAGGCATATGAATGCTTGGCTACTTCAGAATTCAACTCTTCAAAAGTTAACTGATTATTTCCTTTAAGCTCCTCAGCTAAACTGTTCAAAGCTTTAATGCCAGAACCATACATGTTTTTTAATTTCCGCACCCGCACTTTAAGCTCTTCAATAGCCTGAAAAAGGCATACCAAAACAAATTTTTTAAATCAGATAATATGAATAAAAAGCATGATTGCATCCTATGGAAACCCCACCTCTGCCTTTGTTGATACGAAAGAGTGCATATCTTCTTCCATTTCCTTCAGTTGCTGCTCTTGTTGCATTACAGATGCTGCAACCGTCTTGTGCAATTCTTCTAGCTGTTGAGCTAACTGAGACTGGAATTTCTGGATAAGTATTCTGTTTCCTTCGTCAATTTTATCCTTCCGCTCTAAGGTTTAAAAAAACAATTCATATGATATCAAAGTATTCTCTCTAATTGACACCTACAAGAAAAACCACTTGAAAATTGATGCTGACCAATTGTAGAAAACAGTTTTGACACATCGGATGCAGCATTCTCAAGATCAGCTCGTAGCTCAATTGCATGCTCCACAAGTGCTTTTTCTGGAAAAAAGCAAGAACAGAGAAGTCACACAACTACTTCATACTACATTGGAATGATGAGAGGAACGATTTTGAACAACCAACCCAAACGAAGAGAGTACGGTAAAGGGGAATATCCAAACAGAAAGCTAGTTGAAACAAAATAAGCGATATAATTAACTTCACTAACCAGATTTCAGAAGATTTGATATTAGAAATTCCTTTTCCTTAATTGTTGCATTTGCTTGTGTGTGCTTTTCCTCAAGATCAAATAATGACTGCTCAGTTTCTTCAAGACTTCTCTGAGATAGCATACGCCATAAGTAAATGTAACTCTTTGACCCAGATCAGACATTCAAAATAAAGAAAAATCAATTAGGCACAGCCACTTCTTCTGAACTTTTTTTTACCTTAGTTTTTTCAAGTTTATCACTTAACTCTGCAGTCAAAAGTTGCTGACAATTGTAGAGTTCTTGAAGTTCCACCAATTGCTGCTCACAAGTTATGGGATGTTTTTCAATATTCAAGTGATTATAACAATATTGGAATAATCTACGATGGAATGTACCTTGTCCTTAGAATCTGCTTCAAGTTCCATGCGCTCTATCTTTTCAACCATGGCCTATAGAACATACAGATTTAACAACAGTAATGTCTCAAAAAGCATAACTGTATTCCCAATTCATATTAAAATACAGTTAGAGAAACCTTCTTCTCCGCTTCTTCATGAAGATAACGATCACGTGGTATATAAATTCCATTCTTCTCTCTTGCAGCATACACCTCTGCAAACCACACACATAAAAATGAAACATTTTTCAGCACTGAACTGTGAAAGGAAAATAGTTTATTAACATGGTTCTATTTTCTGTTTAGAGAAAACTGAAAGAGGGAGAATGCAAAGTGACTAACAGAAACTATTTTAATATGTAAACAGTGAACAACCTTGCTTCAGTCTGTCAATTTCAGAATACAGATCCTTAATGAGTGCAGATTTCACCATCTTCTGATTGATCTAACAAAGCATTGAAATCCAAACTATTAGATATGTTGCATTGCGGATCTGTGATAAGAAGGGAAAAAAAAAAGCATGGTAAGGTTGACAAAATAAAGTAGGAACTGTGAAAGTCACCTCTGGTTTGTTCTTGATATTTTTGGCACGGTGTGCATAATCCAAGGTATTAAGAGTTTCTTCCAGACAGTGAATAGAAGGTGATATTGTAGCAATGATGCATGTCTTGGTTTTACCGCCTAAGGAATCCCTTAACAGCCTTGTTAATTTGCTATCCCTGATATAACGGGACATCTTAATAATACAAAAGCATTTTTCTCTAGGTTTGAAAATAGAATCAAAAGATGCCAACGAGAAATAACCAGATGAACAGTGGTCATTCATACCTATAAGGAACATGACCTGAATGCTCGACTAGAGCATTAATCACTCGACCTAGAGTAAGCAAGCTTTTATTTATCTCCCCAGCTTCCCTTGCTCTACCCTGCGAGCATTTTCTTACAAATGAAGCACAAAAAATGCTATAACATTTTACTCTTTTCAGACAAATGCTGAAGAATGAATAAGAATGAGATAACGATAATGCTAGAACTGAAGATGACTAGATATAGACAAGGGGTAATTTGAATTTTATAATGTAGTCGAGGGGCATATATATTTTTTTTTCAATATCAATACTCTCACTAAACACACAGGCTATCATACTGTTCCAAATTATATCATTTGAATGTACACTGCCCAAAATAAGCACCGTAATCATTTGATACCTCTCTTGCACCGGAACGTGAAATGTTTTCAGAGCCTGCGAGGTCCACAAGATTTAGCTTCCCACATTTAATCATTTCTTCACCTTCTGGAGTACACTCCTTAATGTGAATAGTGATAGAAAATATGGAATGGGAACGACTGCTTTGTTTATTAAGAAGAGTCTCGGCTGTTCGCCTTTTTGCAGACCCCTTTTCCAATATCTTATAAATTTCATTTGCAGTGCAAACAATCTCTTCTTCTAAACCTCTGACAAACACACCCCCCTTTCCATCCTCCATTAGAGCAATAGGTTTCTTAGATTTGTCATCCACAAATTTTAAAGTCTCCTCAGGGGCCAAAAGATCTGTTATCTCCTCATTGTAAAGCTCTAGAAACGTTACTTTCATGCTATACTCAGCATTCTGAGTTTCTAATATATCAAAAATCTGTTTCACAGCTCTTGGGATGACACCAGCATCACTCGGAAACTCTCCATTCTACATAACCAAAAACACACGGCAGAAAGGAGTTGATTCAGCACAAAACAACAAGAAATACTATAAAGAGCAATGCAGGCCAAAAATAACAACCTTCTTTCTTGCACCTCCTTCCATTGTGTATGTCTTCCCTGTCCCTGTTTGACCATACGCAAAAATGGTGCAGTTATAGCCTTCAAGCACTTCATTCACAATAGGAGATACTGCCAGCTCATACAGTTCTTTCTGCTTTGAATTTGGACCAAAAACCTGTATAACAATCATAAATCCCGATGAATGCATGACGGTAAGTGCAGAATTCACACACACTCATATAATAACAGAAATTGTTCTCATGATTATGTATTCATGTTTGATAGAGAATGAGACAAGTGACTAATAAATGAGTTACTCCATCGTTTCACATTCAGTTCAAAAATGTTAACATTTTCATCTGAATGCAGAATTCATAAATTCCGCCAACTAATTCACACTTCATATAATAAAAATAATAATAATATTAACAATTCCTCAAATTTTACTTTACGAAAAACGATCACCGCATAAGAAAACAAAACACGAAAAAAAACCTTGTCAAATGCGAAGGTTCTATCGATCTGTTTGTTAGCTATACTCTGCACAGCAGAAACCTCTCTTCTACCTTCGTTACACGAAATCACGATCGGCGTATGCAACCGTGCTTCATCTTCACCTAACGGCCTAAACAAAAACAAACAAACACGCGATCAGCGAATTTCGCCGAGTCGCTAACAAACCAAACTCAATGAAGTGAAACTCGGAGTCGGACTCAGTAACCTGCACCGAACAAGCACTTGCACATTGACGCCTTTGTCCTTATCAAACTTGCTGTGACCGCTCGAATTAGAATCCGCAGATCGCAGATCTCGCGCCGGCTTGTCGCCGGAGCGCGCCGTCTGCGACGGCGACAGCGGCACCAATCCTCCTCTTCTATTCTGAGCCTCCATTGCAGTGAAAATCCACAACAGTTGGAATTGAATTCCGAAGTTACGGTGAAAATGGAAAACGATTAAACAATGATCGAACTCGGAATGCGGTTATGGCGTTTGATTCATGTGGAATTTTGTGGTGTCAGAATCTACATTCGAGAGAAATAAATTTATTCAATTATTTAATTATTTAATGGTTAATATAGTTTGTGCGAGTGAGAGAGGGAGAGAGAAAAAGGAAAGAGTGTAGTGTCTCTGTTATGGAAGCTGGAAGAGAAGGTAAGACAAAAGAGAGAAAGAGAAAATGGGAATAGAGAAGAAATGGAAATCGAAGAAGGCGTTACCGTTACGGCGTATGAGTTGAGACTTGAGAGTTGAGAGACGTTGGAAAATAGTGCGACGGCAATTGAAAACTGAAAAGTGATGGGCGAGGATAACGGCGTCCAATCTGGGACGTTTCTGGGATCACGTGACCGTTACAAACGAACAACTTAACAAAAAGACGCAATTAAAAAATGTGAAAGAGGATCACAGTAACACTAACCTGCTCTCTCTGTCTCTGAGTTACTGTTACTGTGTGTTGTTAGGTGAAGGGTTTATTTATCCCTCTTTACAAAGAGTGAGCCACGTGCTTGTAGGGTTTATTTATCCCTTATATTTTAGTACATGTATAATTGTATAAGATAAATGTCTTTTTATATGAAAAAAAAAAAATGAAGTGGGGGGATAATCCACTTTTCAAAGACGGTGGGGTTTACTTATTCCTTGCAATTATGTGTATTCAAAAAGTATTATTTTATGTAATTAAAGTTAAATAGGTTGATATGCATGTATTATATATAAAAAAAATTATATTGTTATTTTTTATTAAAAATTATAATATGTGATAAATTTATTAAATTTTATAATAGTTATTTTAAGAATTATATGAGCACAAAAAAAATCTTAAGAATTATATCAGTAATAATTTTTTTATTGGTTAATTATATAAAATTTTGTCACATGAAATTAAATTCATTAAAAAACTATAGTAAATAAATATTTTTAAATATAATATAAATTATAAATAAGAAAACAAACTACTCATACTAATAACTCATATATAATAATTAAAAAAAGAAATATATGCTTGTTTGCTTCTCTTTTTTTTTTTTTTCTAATGTAAAGCGTCATTTTAATGTAATTTGTATGATTAATATTAAAAATAGGCACTTGTCAGGAGCACTTTAATTAAACTTAAATTGGTTTTTCTGATGAATTCTAAAACAAACGAAGTCTAGCGAGATCAAACTTTATTGATTTCTCATGGTTATTTTGTTTAAGGCGATCTTAGTTTTTTTTTTTTTTTTACAGCATGATCGTAGTATGGTTGTACACTTAAATATAACTCGTTAGACCAACTCTAATTGGTATCAATATAATTAGTTTGTTATAAAATATAGAATGCTTTTAAAATGCGCATTCCTAACACATGTACACTTTAAATGTACATCCTCACAAAAAAAAAAATAATGGCATTGGCAGGGACAAAAGAATCTAAAAGATGATGTACAATCTGAGTTGTTGCAAATGTACGACATTCATCGGTCCATAGTCGTGTAAACTCTCTTTCAATAACCATCACTTGTAACAAACTCCCTCAGTTTATAATTGTATTTTAATATTAATATTAATACTGCGTGTGTTTCACTTTGCTCCTCGTATATTGTTCTCAATAGATGAGATGACCCCTCTTCTCTGACATTCACACATGACGAGGTTCTCATTCTTTTTCTGCCTTGAAAAATATCCTCTCCTATATCTACAGGAACAATTTTATTTTATTTTATTTTATTTTTCTCCCCAAAAGTTGCAACAAACAAGAAAGTTAGTGTTATCTCCTTAGTTACACAACACAAGGTAACTGCTACTTGATTTTTAAGTTATCTCCTTAGTTACACAACACAAGGTAACTGCTACTTGATTTTTAAGTTTTTCTTATACTATGGTCCCTACAGTGTAGTTTTATTAATAGCTTCCTTTCTTATTTTATTTATCTTGATGAGTCTGATTCTATACCTCGAATATGGCCATGTGGATGAAGATAAATTGACAATGACCACTGAAATAAATGGCGGATAATCTAAGTCATGTAAAGTTGAGAGGGAAGTAATGAATAACTGTATGTTTGGTTTTTAGATTCATCTAATTGAATTAACTCAATCTAACACATATGTTACTTTTTCATTTGTGATTCTAAGTAGACAAGAGAGAATGAAGCCATGCATTTCTTTTTTCTTTGAAAAAAATATGAACTTAATAATGTTGGGAGTTAATTGGTCGAGCTTGATTGGAAGAAAAAAAAATCAAAAAAAAATTCTGAGTTAGTATTAAGTAGAAAGCATATGGCTCTTCCAAGTTCCAACTCACAGTTTTAAGAGCCAAATCCAAAATTACCAGTTGATCACAAATTAAATAACACTTGTCAGCAACCCAACCCAAAGTTGAAGTTTACTTTTTTCCACCTTAACATTGGGTAGCATCATTCTTTAATATTTTTGGTCGTGGGTAGCATCATTCTTAACTCTTTATTTTTGTTGGTCTAGAATTCTTAACTCTGAAGATAGCAGAATAAAGAGAGACTGTTGGGCTGTGAAAGGAGAACATGGGAATTGGATTGGGAAACTTTTAAGACACAAAGTGGACCCAATTTCTTCATTTTAATATTGATATTCGGATGACACCACACCACCTCTAAATTAGACTTAAATTTTGGTACATTCTCAAGTAACTTCATTGCCCAGAAAAAAGGATTTGTTATTGAAAGAGGGATGAATTGAGGATTGAGACACTTTGCCTTCCAAGATAATTAGCTTAAGGATTGCCGTGCACTCCCAACCAGACCAAAAACAACACCTCTATTTTGCAATCTGGCCCTTCTATTTTTTACCCTAATATTTTTTCTTTTGATGGATATATCTTTATCGGCCTACAACTACCCATTTCTCTCAATTACTTTCTTTTAAATTTATTTACAATATTTATTTTGTAATTATATATATATATATATATAACGTGTTCATGTATTCTTTAAGTTAATGTTATTTAATATATTTTATGTAAAATTAAATACATTTATACTATTAATAAAAATGACACACCTTTTGTATACATTTTGTTGACTATTTTGTCACTTTACGTCTAAAACATTTTTTCTCTCTTATGCATCTTTTATTTAGTTTTTTTTCTTCTTTTTTTTTCTCTATTTTTTCATAAATTTATTTTTTAAAATTTTTTACACTTTTTAAATAATTGCTTAAAATTGTTCACATATATTTAATTTTGATTATTTTTATCGTTATTTTTATAAAAAAATACATAGAGACACTAAATATCTTTTTTAAGCTAGTTATTATGAAGTCGTTGTTATTATATCCTTTCCATAATTTTTATCATCATGAGTTTATTTATTTAAAATATTTTTATAAAATAAGAAAATATAAGTTTTATCTCATCCTAAGATTAAAAAATATACTTAGCAAATTGTGATCTCACCCCTTTAATGAAAGAGGAGGCACTAGGCACTAGGCACTAGGCAGGATCGGATCCATAATTATGTGAAAATCTCTTTTCGTCCCTTACATTATTTAATATTTTCAATTTAGTCTTATTTTAATTTTTTGTTTCAATTTAGTCTTCAATAATTAATATTGTTGCAATTTGGGACTTTCGTCCAAATGATTTAAACGAAATTAACTGGTGGTCACGTGGATGCCAGGTGGATGTCACGTGGATGCCACGTAGGTGGATCTAAAAATACTTGAATACACCTAGAACCAGAACGGCCCGTTCTAAAACCAAAACGGCCCGTTCTGGTTACATTATTGATGTGTAAAATTTGCACCTGGAACGGGCCGTTCCAGATCCAAAATTAACACATCAACAGTGTAACCAGAATGGACCGTTCTGGTTTCAGAACGGGCCGTTCTGGTCTAGAATTTCGTAAAAAAAACCAAAGTACAAAGCATTTTTTTTGGGAAAATACAAAGCATTTCAAACACTAGATTTAATAATATTGTTAATGAGGATTAATAACTTCAATCGCTAAACATTTGGGCTATACAGTATATCATTAAGGATGATGCAGTGTATCAATAAGGACAATGATAACAAGTTTTATTTCATTGTTAGTCAAACTGGAGTGAACTACTTACTACCAAATTGACACTATACAGTCAAAGATAAAACGAAACAGTGTTTTTCCTTAAAGTCATTGACGATATGTACCCCAACAATAGCACCCTGTTCTTGAGGAGGTACCCCTAAACCCTGAATTTTATTTTCAATTTTTTAAATACATTGCGACATTTTAGTCAAGGTTTGAACTGGATAAATTAAAATCAAAGAAATATTTTAGAAGGTCTTATTTTATTTGATTTTTTTTTTTAGTTTTATTCATAAATGAATATTTTTATTATATTTTTTATTTATTATATATTTATTAATATAGATATAATAAAATATATATATATATATATAATAAAAAGCATGGCGTTCTAAAAGCAGAACGGGCCGTTCTGGTTTGAGGTTTTTTCAAGAATTTTGGCGTCCACGTGCGCATCCACGTAGATGTCACGTGGCCAATAGTTAACTCCGTCTAGATCATTTGGACGGAAGTCCCAAATTGCACTAATTTAAGTTATTAGGGACCAAATTGAGACCAAAAATTAAAGTGGGACTAAATTAAAAATATTAAATAATGTAAGGGACGAAAAGAGGTTTTTAACCTTAAATGTATATTGTATTATGGAACTTATGAATGTCATTTTTTAAAATCATAAAATTTATAACAATAGTATTGACTCTTAATCTATCTCTCGTAAAAAATTAAATATTTAATAAAAATCTATTTTTATCTTATTTTTAAGTTTATTTTTTACCATTTACATGACTAAAAGTGTTTTCTCACTTATAATAATCGAAACAAAATGAGCTAATTAAAGCATAAACTGAATATTTTCTTAATAATTATATATTAAAATAATAAATATTTTTATCTTAATAAATTTCTTCAAAAAGAGTTAAGGCCCCTGCTTCTCCCCTTTGATCCGTTCGTGAGATGAGGTACCCATCAATATCATCTTTGAACCTTTAAATAAAATATAAAAGAAAGTAGGATACTATGAAGTATGAAGTATGAACACTCTTTTAGAATGATCATAATTCACAACTGAAAACAATGATATTTTGCACAAAAGCAACAAAGAAAGCTTCAATTCAAGCATTAGACCAAATTAATGGGCACGACATGCATCCAATTTTATATTGTGCACCTCCATATTCATACTCTATCCATTACACTATATAAACCTACGAAAGCAAATGCATAGCACAACAACAACCTTCAAACTCAAGCTTTTCGATTCTTGGTGCATATAGCAATGGAATTCCCCACTTCCACTCTTAAACCATTTTTCTTAATTTTGTTACTACTCACATCAAGCCATGCAGGAGCAGGAGCAGGAGCACCACCCCCCTCATCAAACCTATTCCGAGAATACATCGGAGCGGAATTCAACAACGTTAAATTCTCCGATGTCCCAATCAACCCAAGTGTGGAATTCCACTTCATTCTCTCCTTCGCCATCGACTACGACACCTCATCATCGCCCTCACCCACCAACGGAAAATTCAACGTCTTTTGGGACACCACCAACCTTAGCCCCACCCAAGTTTCCTCCATCAAAGCCAAAAACCCAAATGTCAAAGTTGCCCTTAGTCTCGGGGGTGACAGCGTGGCAAACGGGTATGCTTTCTTCGACCCCTCTTCAACCGACACGTGGCTTTCCAACGCCGTTTCTTCCCTCACAACCATAATCAAAGACTACAACTTGGACGGAATCGACATTGACTACGAGCACTTCAAGTCAGACCCTGACACGTTTTCTGAGTGCATTGGGAGGCTCATCAAGACGCTCAAATCAAACGGGGTTATTTCTTTTGCTTCCATTGCTCCCTTCGATGATGACCAAGTTCAGAGCCACTACTTGGCCTTGTGGAAGAGTTACGGGGACATCATAGATTATGTTAACTTTCAGTTTTATGCCTACGACAAGGGCACCAGCGTCGACCAGTTCATCGGTTACTTCAACCAACAAAGTTCGAATTATAAAGGTGGGAAGGTGTTGGTGAGTTTCATCAGTGATGGGAGTGGTGGCTTGTCTCCAAATGCTGGCTTCTTCACTGCGTGTCATACGTTGAAGACTCACCAAAAACTTCATGGGATATTTGTTTGGTCCGCGGATGATTCCATGGGAAATGGTTTTCGCTATGAGAAGCAATCACAAGCTCTTTTAGCTTTACCCTAGTATGCTTCATTAAATTAAAATGTTATATATGTATGTATCCCTGTACTCATATAGACTTTATATCATGGATATACACATGTATGTATGATTATTATGATATATGTATCTTCTACCTTTTATTTATATTAAAGTAAATTACACTCCTATTTTTATTTTTTTAAGATTATATTCAATATTTTATTATTATTTAAACTTACAACGAAATATTTTTTAAATTAAAAGGATGCTATATCTTCTAATTTTCAAACAATTTCAAGTCATGTGCATATCACATAATACAAATATGTTAACAAATTTAACACTATTTATAGGTTAAAATTGGGGACATTATAACATTTTTTAACTTTTAAAATTCTACTATAGATTAAAAATCGAAGAAATATCAAGTACAATTTCAAATGTGGGAGTATAAGTCTTCATATTATACACATACTTCTTTTTATGAAATTGTGATCCATTTTTATTTACGTGCTTGTGAATTTTTGTTTTGGTTGGTTTACTAGGGATGTGTATTTGTAAAAACATAGAATGGAAAATTCAATGTGAATCCATCAAATATCTCCTATCACTTTTGGTTTCTCATTTGGATTGGATGATGGCCTAACATCTATGAAGAGTACAAAATATTAGAATGATCAAACATTGAGAAGCAATCCTTCTTTTGGGTTATTAAGCGATCCAAAAATTGAGGGCTAAAAGTCCAAACTACGAGCTTAAAGCCCAACGTTATTTTTCTCAATGCTAAATGTCTTAACTGAGTTCGGCCCTTTATCAAAGCTGGAATACTCTTTAGGAAATAATATTGGCCCAAATTCTATCTTTTCATTGACTCGATTATACTTTTGTTTATTACAATTAATGTTCGATTTTGATCTTTTCGTAACTTTTTACTTGATTTTAACCTCGTAATTTTCTAATTATTACAACTAAGTTTGGAAAAAATTTCAATTTTTCATAATCAATTATTTTTAAACAAAAATTTTCTATATCAAATTCTTTTTTTTTCCTTCTCAAAATTTGTATAATTAAAAATTAAAACCCAGCTCAAAAGTATACTAAATAAAAAATAATAATATTTCACCCAAAATTAACAAAATCATAATTCTTACCCTTTTCGAAACTTTAATTCATACCATATAATTTTTTTTAAAATTTCATCATGTTTTTAACTTTTGTCCTTTTTAATCATTTTGTTTCTCAAATACATCTTAAAATCCTAATTAAAAAGAAAGTGACGAAAGAATTAATTGTAATACTTAAAAATTGAAGCACTAAAATCAAATAAAAATATATTAAAAAGTTACGGTAAATTATGTCTTTCTATTCTTCAACATATTTTTTTCGAATGTTGAGTTTAGTCTCTATACAAATTTAATACATTTTAGTATTTATATTTTAATTTCAACATAATCACATTCTTGTCCTTAATAAGACATACTAAGGGACTAAAAACAAAAGCTAAAAACATATTAAATTTTTATGAAAACTACAAACATATTTTACTCAAAAAAAAAAAAATCAAAATCACGTATTGATCATATTAGAGAGAGAGAAAGATGCATTAAGCCTAAGTAATAACTATTGGATTACATTTGGTCGTTTTACTTTTTACTAGTTCTACTTGACATTTTTCCGTATAACTTACGTTAGTAGTAAATGATCATTAACACAATTCACCAACGCTCTATATACTCTTGTAATGGGTCCACTTTTTTCAAGTGATGGGGTGTATGGTAGTTTCTCATGTTGAAAATTAAAGTGTAATCTTGATGATATTTGCATGATAAAAATTTACATGTAGGTTTTGTCGTTATGATGAATGGTACTTATAAATCGTGAGACGTGAATAGGGGCATTGTTTGTCGCAATGACAGCACTAGTTGTTGGGGGAGTTTTTATAATATAGAGCACTCCATACAGTAAGTAGTGAGTAAGTCACACAAATAAGTTTGACACCACAATATAACTAAAAACATTAAGCCATTAGGTAAGTAGATTTTTCTCACTTATATATTACTCAATATGCCCAACTCTAATCAATGTAAAACTTCACTTCACACTTGAATTCCAACACTAGTGAGTTAGGAAGCACATAGACGTTGCACGCAGCGATCCGTAGCAGCAATAAAGTGTGTTTAATTTGCGAATGGTGATTTTAGCATTCGATCCGAGTCAGGCAGGGTCCTTTTTGACTCAACATTCCACAACGGTGTCGTATGAGTGGCTAACTAGTGCCTAACCGTCTTGTTGAGAAGATTGAGTTGACCTACACTCATATATACAACAACGTCTTCGATGCCACACTCACCAAAAAGCCTATTATTTTGGGGAGGTTCAGGTTTGTTTGGTTTGGATGAATCTGCACTTACACATGAAAACGACGTAATGCTTGTCAATCCGTTGCTATCATTTTTCCCACTTTGTTCATTGTAATCATTTGTTAACCGTCCACCCAATATTAGAGTGTTGTATGGGATCATGTAGCTTCCCACTTTAATGCTTCCAATATCAAAAAACATGACCATTATTGTGCCATCTTTGGGGGCTCAAGACTTCAAGCCTCCAATTTCCAATTTGATATGACATATCAACTTGTATTTCTTTTTTAAAAAAAAATACTAAGATACTTTGTAGCTTTTGAAAATATCACCGAATAATAGTATAGTCAACAAATTACAAGTCTTTATTTTAAAAATTAATTTTATAAAATTAAGTTAGATCTATAATAAATCTATTCAAACACTCATATATATTGTTATGGGACTATTTACAAATATTTAATTCTACGAATTTTACATTAAAAAAAGTAAGGTAGAAAAAAGTTATCTTACAAGTTAATATTATAATATTAAATTAGATTTATAAACCACATTTTTAACCAATCGTATATCGACAGCTTGTGGAGATTAGTTTATACATGCTAGAACTAAAAAAGTAACTACCAAAATCATTAGTGTTCTTCGTTTCATCTTTTCTAATTTGTTCCATCACTTTCGATCTCACTTCGCTCTCACTTTTCTATCATAATAATTGGAATAGACATCGAAGCGAACCTCTTAATAGTGACAAAGGTATCTATCTTTCTATCTACTATGGTACATAATAATGCATTATACATCCTACTACAAGGACCTGGCATAGAGCCCCTAGTTTTACATAAACATCATATTCTATAAAGAATTTGGCGTACTCGTGTGATGTTACTCTTTAATGGGCATATAATTGATGTTACTGTTTTTCGTTCAATTACAACGTATCTTTATATGCTTCTATTTTAAAAATTCTATCGAAAACAAGTATTTATTGATGTGATGATTCATCAACGTTGATAATATATAAAGTAAATATTGTTCTTTTAATATATTATATTTAAAAAAAATAATTCAAATTTTAAATAAATTGAGTGGAAATTTAAGAAATTATTTAAAAATTTGTAATGTTTGAAATATTAGTTAGATTTACATAATTTTATTTGTTTTAATATCTTTTAGAGATTTGTTTCTTATTTTTTTAATTAGGAAGATTATATGATCCACATTTCTGTTTTATATAGAGAGAGTCAAAAAATAAAATTTGTGTGTTCTATTTAATATTTTTGAACGTATAGACAATTTTCCTATGTGGGGGATAATTTTTTCCATTATTGGCATTAAAGCTATGACAAAGAACATACAAATGTTTGAAATATCGTTATTTGATGGTAAGACAAATTTTATGATTTGATAGTGTACCATTCATGTCCAACACCATTGAACTTTGTACGTGGATAAATGATGGGTGACCCTTTTTTAATAATATAGGATAGCTCTGATACCATCTTAGAATAGTGAATTTGAGTCTAATTCAATCCTACAAAATTGACTTGTAAGGTGAAGATTGATTTCCACTTATATACTATTTAATTATCTAATCTATAGTCGATGTGAGACTTGAATTTTTCCTAATACATTCAAGATATTTTAATGCAACAAGGTTTTTATCAAGTTTTGAAAGACGAAAAGTCAAATACTATTAATGAAAGTTAATGGAGTCAAATCCAAAAGAAGATCGTGAGTATGATTTGGTTAGCTCTTGCTCCCAATATAAAGTGCAACGTCTTAAAGGAGACAACATTAAAAGCCTTGTGGGAGAAACTTGAGAATATTTATGCATCTAAGTTGTTAACCAATCGTCTGTATTTGAAGATGAAGTTGTATAAACTCAAAATGGATATGGGATATTAATCATTTTAATTGGATAGTATATCAATTGCTAAATGTAAATAAAAAAAAATATGATGAAGAGTAAGCAATGTTATTTTTAGTTTCACTACTAAAGTCTTATAAATCTTTAGTTCAAACATTGCTTGTAGGGAAAAT